ACCCAACTTGAACTCCAGTTGGATTCAACTTTATTTGAAATCAAGTTAGAGTTGAAAACTTACCATGAAAAATTAAATAGAATCAAATATGAGTTATAATTTAAAATTGACTCAACTTAATTATATTAAAAACTAAATATGCATGAAACATCAATCAAAATTTTAATTTAATTAAATCCAAATCCTATATTAAACTTGAGTATTAAATAAAATTTATGAATTAAATTCAAATTCAATTCGAATTGAGTTGGCTTATTAATTTATTATTGTACATAAAATCAACTCAAATTCAAAGTTTTAAGGAACTTGACTTTTTATTTTACAACTCTAATTATAATAACCATATGCTTAAAAATTTTGATTTAATTGTGTTTGTAGATTATAAATTATTAATGAAGCCAACATATATCTTAATTTTTATTACAAGTCAATGATACACGAAAAAATTAGTATAATATCCACATCAATAAATTTCATCTCTGAATAACATAATATAAAGATGTAGTAGATTAAAAAATTAAAAAATTATCTCTTACAATTCAATTCAAAATTAAAAAAATAAAAATCTAGTTGTAGATAATGGAGGAGATTTTAGTAGTAAGGCAGCCCCAATTATGAATTTGAGGAATCGATTTCAACTAAGCACGACAGTGAACATGGTAGGCTGTGCGAAAGATTTTGTACAAAAAAAAAAAAAAACCAAAAGCAAAGGATTCACATGCCAATGAAATATCAATCCATTGCGTGGTTGACAAACGACAATTACTACACCAGAAATTAGACAAATCATAAAACATTTTGAATCTTAGAAGCTAATAGATTATTCCAGCCATTAGATTTATATTTTTCGTAGCTCTAGTCCCAATAATTGTTAAAAAAGAAAAAAGACTTATTAGTTTCCACTACTAAATTGCTGACTACGTTAAAGTTTAGTTTTTTTTTTTTTTTAATAAGTGTAATGGTTAATAAATTAATTTTATTAATTATTAACAGCTAAAAATTTAATTCTTAAATTTGATAAATATTCTATCCCTCCCAATAAAATGTGCGGCACATCAGATTGCTTGATAGAGTTCGCTGACTAGGTTAAAGTTGGTAAATGCTAGTTTTACAATTCTACACGACCACGCCTAGCTATCCTAAATTTGCCTGAAGAGTACTTTTGATTCTTTTATAATTTTTAAGAAATTTTATAATAATCAATCAATATTATATTTAGCAGCACTAATTTCTCTTCCCTAACTTAACGTTACAGATTTTTCTTCCTTGCCTTCTTGCCTTTCCTCAGGCTTCAGTCTTCGTGCAATCCACTTGCTTT